ATGCTAGATTAGTTAAAACGTCATCGAACCGTTTGTAACGACAACATGTCGTTTTGGGTCACGAATTTTCAATTTCGCTCAAAAAATTGTTAAAACTTGTTTTCATTAATTTTTATGTGGATATGAGGAAACATAAATTGATACAAACATAAAATCAGTTAAAACGGCATTCAGTCGTTTAAAACGGCAGTATGTCATTTTACTGTTGGTTTTAAATTGTGTATGAAATAGAAGAATTCACTGTGATGGAATATGAGTAATTTAGGTAATCTATTAATTTTGAATTAAAATATTTATTTTAAATCATTAATTGTGGTCAAAGGCTAAAATCCCAAACTATATTAACAAATAGACCATTTGCCCCAATTACCACAAGGGAAAATAGGGCAAAGAGGAAGGAAAGAGAGCCCATTTCTCCTTCTCCTTCCCGCTTTTATCCAGTTCATATTGTAAGTGTACCTCCTCTATTAATCCCAGCTCAGTGCAGATTGGAAGTGTAGCTTTTCTCATCTTCCTGATCTTTCCCATTTCATCCATTTTTTTTCTTGCTCTTACCTGAAAATCGAACTCAATTTGTTACCCACAGTCGACCGCGCGAAGCTGAATCCGGGGCATAAATCAGCAGCAGATTTTGTTACCCAACTGAAAATGGTAGTATTTGCTCACCATATTGCCTACTTACGAACGAAAATCTTGAAATTTCTTTTTACCTACTGAAAATCTTGAACCAATTATTGAACTCATTGTGTAAATGGTGGTTTAGGGAATATCCTGTGCAACTGCAATGTTCTGAAAAAGAAATGAAGTAGGACATTTTAAGCTGAAAAGAAATGAATGCTTGTTATTTAGTAGGCAAAAAGAAATGAATGCTCATTTTTAAGCTGAACATTTTGCTCCGTGATTTGTTGAATGGGTGTTTGATGAAATGCATGAAAGAAATGTGGTATTGTTGTGGACTAGTTTTGATTAGCAAGTATGCGAAGATGATGGAGGGAATTCAGTCTGCCATTTCGGCCTGTGCAAAATTGGGGGATTAATAAGACTGTGGCTTGGTGTGGAATTCATTCTGGACTTTGCACTTGAAGCATTGAATAGTTTCGGAAGTTTTATGCTGTATGAAATTTGATAATTGTGGTTTAAGAGAAAGTATGCTCGACTATGCAAGAAAGGTTCTTTTGAATGCTGAGTTGGTGTGTGGAAATGCAACTCCCCCAGCTCAATTGCAAGGCAAGGTTTTTCAATTACAAACTTCTTCCTCGACCAGCTTGAAACTCCAGCAAGTATTCTCCAGATGAATCTTGATTGCTTTCTTAAATTTGAGGATGGCAAAGAGGTGAATCAATCAACTGAGAAGATTTACTCTTGATTCTGTCATAAAAATCTTGGGACTCAAGATTCAGTCAATATGCTATATCCAGGTTTAAAGTCTCGACAAAATTGCCATTTGATTTGTTGTGAACACGGAGATGTTGATTTTTCATATTGTGGAGTAGGTCAGAAGGTGGGGAGAGTAATCTGTTTTGATGTATGATGAGTTGATAGACAAGGAAATGAGTGATTCATTATGCTAATGGACAGATTTTGATATCGAAAAATTTGAAATTGGCATGCACCTGTTCCAGATTTTGGTTGATGAGATTGTTGTAGAACTTTGGATCTGCAGACCGAATTCCCCATCGATTGCACAGGGCTTTCAGTAATTTTCTCAATTTCTCTATAACTATGCAGCATTCTGCTATCATTCCTCTGTGGTTAAAGGAAGATGGTGTCTCTTTGTACAAGCTGTGTATTTTACAGTTGCTGGTGTTAACACACTGTCTCAACTTCCCATTCTTTTCTTTCTATTTGCTTATTTTCTTTTCCTTGACAAATGGAAAACTGTTAGTTACTTTAGATGTTTCAGTAAATTTAGCAATGATTCTTGTAGTTGATCTCGAATTTACTATGAAGTTTAGTTTGTTGATGCAAAAACAAGAAATTACCATAGTAATTTATAAAGCAAAAAACTCAAGAGGAGGCTGTACAAGAAAAAAGATTCATCAATTCAATTCTTTAATCAAAAACACATTCCACTCTTTACAAATGAATACCTATAACAGAATTCTAAAGTCAAAGTTCTGATGGTAATGGAATAAAAAATATTCAGAATCAAATACTAAAGATTAAACCAAATAAAGTCGATCATGAGAGAAATATCAGTAGTTCTCACATTAAGAAAATCCTAATTTCTGAACTCAAAACTGTCTTTGCCCAAAAAGAGTTCTACCAATTCTCCCTCCCCTGTTTCCTTCGTAGGTAGCATTATTAGCAGCAATACCGAATACTTTCAGTTCCCCCATACTCGCATGGCTCTTCCTGGTCATAGTTCCACCACTCCTCTTCTCACCGGAATTCACCGACTTACTCTCGCCTACCAATTTTCCATAAAGCCCCCCACTCTTTGCCCCTGCCGATGGTGTCAAGGACTTCTCCGCCACCGGAGACAGCATTGATGGCGGTTTCCAATTCTCCTTCCTCAAAGCAGATGAAGAATCCGTCACAGATTGAGTCAACATTGAAGACCCTTTAGTCCTTTTTGGTGGTGTGGTGAAATTCGACTTCCCATGGAAATTAACTTACTTCAAATATGGTTTTGTTGAAGAAGAAAGCCATTAATCTCTGCCATTGATGGATGATTTTTGAAGCTTTGACAGTCTGATTTTCAGGAAAAATTCTTGAAAGTAGTTGTATCTTTAAAAGATTTGAGTTTCCAACGGTCTAATAAAGATATGGTTTACAATCCGGCCACTGTTCGTCGCCAGACGGAGGTCGGGAAGGAGGCGATTCCTAGGGTTTCACAGAGGAACGAATGGAAATTTTGAAAGGCGAAGGATAGAGTCACAGGCATTCCCCACCCCCCTTTAAACCCCTTCTCCTGCCACATCATCTGTAAGGGCTCTGTGAAACAGTAGCCAGTAAGTGTAGCGCGGTCCGAAATGGCCGAGAAGATATTTCCAGCCAGTTTGTTTTTTACATGTCTCAATCAGGTCAAAGTGTATTTAAATTCTACTGAGTAAGTTTTATATTGCAAATTCTATTTCATCTTGGAGTGTCCCTTGTGTATCCTACTGACTAAAATTGTGAATCCTACATAGAATAGGACGTGCAGGTAATATAAAAGCTTATTCTCTTGTGCTTATTTAGTTTCTTGTTTAATTTGTATAGTGAAATTGAAGCGATCAATGAAACTCCTTCAACATCTCTTCCTCCACTTCCACCATCATGTTTAGGGAAGACAAAAAACAGAAAATCTTAAAATGTGTAAGAACACTTCACAAATGATTTTAGGTATGGATGCAAATATCGTGGGCAGGATTTATGTTTGTGGGGCTAGGAACTATGAGACTTGTACCTTGAGGAGTCATTTGATTTTTTATTGTAAGAAGTATCTCGAAATATTGGAAGACAAACGACAAACAATTCAACTAAGGGTGATGTGAACGTCCTAGTTGGCTTTAATAAGGAAGAGTATAGGCTTGTATGTGCTAAGATGATAATATTGGATGAATAACCTATTAACTTGTTGAAGGTGAGGGGTTTAAACAATTTTGTAGTGTAGCATGTCCTAAAGTTGATCCTCCATCTCTAAAAACTGTTACTAGAGACATTTATCAGTTGTATTTAGATCAGAAATTTCAATTGAAAAAGATCATCCAACGTCAAAGAGTTTCTATTACTACTGATACTTGAAGTTCCATTCAAAACATTAATTATATGTCTCTCGCATCACACTATGTTGATTCTGATTGGAAGCCTCATAAATGGATTCTTGGTTTCTGTGTGATTACTAATCAATCATGAGGATGGGTGAAACCATTGGTAAAGCTATTGAGACTTGTTTGCATGTATGGGGTATTGAGAGATTATTTACAATCATAGTTGACAATGCAATTGCAAATGAAACAGTTATTTCTTATATTAAGAGAAAGATGTTGGTCGATGTGGTGATGGATGTGTTTTAGATGGGAAGTATTTGCACATGAGGTGTTGTACGCATATTGTTAATTTTATTTTGTTCAAGGGTTTGAAGGAAGCACATGATTCAATTTTTAGTATTCGCAGTGCTGTGAAATATGTTAAATCTTCTCCCGCTAAAGAACGAAAGTTAAAGGAGTGTATGAGTGAAGAAAAAATTGATTGTAAATCACTTGTGTTTTTTTATGTACCAACAAGGTGGAATTCCACATATTTAACGTTGGAAATTGCTTTAAAATTTCAAAAATCTTTTGAAATGTTAGGAGGAGGATGTGCAGGAAGGAATGGGCCTCCTACAACGTTTGCATGGGAAAATGCTTCTACTTTTGTGAAGTTCATTAAAGACTTTTATGAATTAACTTTAAAGCTTGGTATTTCAATGCATGTTATCTCTGATGTTTATCTTCATGAAGTATGTTCACTTGTAACCGAATTAGAACAATTGAATTTAAGTGGTGATTTTCTTTTGGGTGAAACAGCTATTAACATGAAGAAAAAGTTCGACAAGTATTGGAGGAAAATGAAAAATGTTAATTATTTGTTGTTGATTACTATTGTGCTCTTAATCCACAATACAAATTGGCGTGTGTTGATTTTTGCTTTACTGATATTTACGAGGATAAGGAAGTTTCTTGTAATATGACAAAGATTTGGAAAGACAATATGATGTCAATATGTGACAGATATATGAGATGTGAAGCAAGTTCTGAAAGCAATCAAGCATCCGTGATGTGATTGCTTCAAGTGGGGTTTCTTCTGCAAAATAAAGTCCTACTTCAAGTATGTTTCATTCTCGTGTTTCTAGGTTTAAGAGAACACAAGCAGCAAAACATTTAGTTGAATTGAAAAATGGTGTGAATAGATACTTGTTAGATGTTTGTGAAGATATAGAGGACGATGCTTTTGTTGTTCTTAATTGGTGGAGAGTTAATGGAAACAAATATGGTACATTGTCAAAACTTGCAAGATATGTAATAGCTATTCAAGTGTCTACGATGACTTCAGAAAATGCTTTCAGAACTAGAGGAAGAATTCTTGATCCATTTCGTAGTTCTTTAACTCTTTAGATGGTGAAAGTTTTGGTTTGTAAACAAAATTGGATTAAAAAGTCTACAAGCATTCTATATGGAAGATGTGAGGGAATATAGTAAGCTGGATAAAGGTAATGTAGCTATTCCATGAATTATGTTAAATATGTATTTTATCTACTTTATTCCTAATTTAATAATCATTTTTTGTCAAGATTTTGGAATCAAAGAAATCAAATGAAGGCTAAATCAACATGACTAGTTCATTTCTAAATTTTTGAGATAGATATATATTCTAATGTGCATAGCTCTTTATTAATGTAATATTTATATTTTTCTCTAAGTATTTCTATACCATGATTTTTGAAAATGACAAACTATTACCAACATGAAGAAAAATATTAAGTTTTTTCTGATTTTATTTTAGGCAAATAAGGATTCATTTGGAAGTTTGAAACTATTTTAATATTAAAAAATGAATAATAATAATAATAATAATAATAATAATAATAATAATAATAATAATAATAATAATAATAATAATTGTTAACCCAACTCGAACCTGCTCGAACCGAGTTTGTTTAGAAAGTAATCCCAAATCGGTAAAGTTGGGTTGAGTTTGGGCAAAAAAAAAAAAAAAANAAAAAAAAAAAAAAAAAACAGACTAGTCGGTTGCCCACCTCACCTTGCAAAAGAAGATGAATAAATGTTTAATTTTATTTATTTATTATTGCTTCTTGATTTGTCCAGTTCTATGCATTAAATACATCGACGATTGTGTGTCAGAGTAGATAGAGTTGTAGCAAAACATGACACCCTTTAATTTTGTCGTGATTTTCCAATTCAGCATCTCGAATACGTCAGCCATTGTATGTCAGAGTTGGAGAGCATTGAATTGTCCAATTTTGCACATTACATAAAACGTTAATTTTGTGTCAGGGTAGATAGCGTTGTTGTGAAATACATCAATCTTTAATTTTGTCGTGAATTTTTCAATTAAGTTTGTTGAATACATCATTATTGGTATATTAGATTTGGGGAGCATTGTATACAACATTCGGACATGTGCGACATGACTTTATTGTTCACTCATGTAAAATGCTCAATACCTCTAGTTAAAATGTAAACAATAGCGCCTTGTATTTTTAAGTTGGAATTACCTGAATCGAGCTCTTGAATCAAAATGATTCTAGTTCAATTCTCGATTTTATATACAAAATCGATTTATAATTCTATTGACTTATAATTCTATTTATTTTTGTGGATTCACAAAAATATAAGGAGAAAATGTCGGAATTCTTCAAAAAAATTACTATTTCAAAACTCATTTTCTTCAAAATAAAAATAAAAATAAAATAAAATAATAAAATTATTTGGCTTCAAATTGGGGGTCAATGTTAAAGTAACTATTAAATTAATTTATATGAATTCACAAGAAAATAATAGTTATCTACAATAATTTACATTTTTGTGCCCGAAACAAAATGTATGAAAAGTGACCTAGAAAATACAAATGACATTATACAGTAATTTTTCAAAGCATTACAAGAATCAAAGTGAACCCTTCCAAAACTAGTTAGTCATGTTGAATTCTATAACTATATATAAAACCAAAGGTTCTCTGTGTAAGATTTTTCATAAAAAATAATTCGATCTAGTTCTCGACAAAATCGACTACATTGATTGATCTATGCCACCCCCTAGTCTACATGACCAAAGAGTGAATTAGGTCAAAACACAAAAGGAATAATAATTTGACCGACATTATTTTACCTGGGCCGGGCATCGTGGGCATTACCCCTCATGTGACTGGCTACACGTACTTCAAGACAGAAAATCATGAAGTTAGCACCATTTGACACACACTCATTGGACCAACCTCAAAAGTATGGCCCACATAGGCTACGTATCTCATATGCGGCGACCATTGCCCGACGGCAGCCGTTGCCGGAATCTTTTAGTGCCCAATTATCCGACGCCGGCGATTTGATAACAGAAGTGTCTAAGAACCTAATCCGAAATTTAATTGAATATTAATAGTAAAAAAAGAGTATTTTTTTTAAAAATGTAATTAAAATAAAAAACAAGAAATTGAGTGCGTGTTTTACCAAATTTAGAGATCCTATAAAACAGCATTTCAGAGTTAGTAGACTCCTCTTTCATTGAATACACTGCCAGTTCCATTCTCTCTGGCAACCAAATCACACTTACTTTCTTTTCTTTTCGCCATCGATTCACTTACCTTCTTTAAACCTGCAAATCCCTTTATAAGTATCGCGCTCCCATTTCATCATTTCTGTCTCTCCAGCATCTCTTTAGAATCCACTTTTCCTAGAATCCCACTGTTTTTGGTCAGATGAGTACAAATCTAGAGAGCCATTAGTGAAAGCATTAAATCTTTGATGGATTCAATGGATTTATGGCCTGTGAAATACTCCGAAAATCGACATGTTACCAAGAAACTCGTTAAACCCTCAAATCAAAAGCCCAGAAAAACCCATGAAGAATTGACTGTTAATGGTCCTAGAATCGTTCGAATATCGGTCACTGATCCTTATGCAACAGATTCCTCCAGTGAGGAAGATGACGAGCTTTTCTGTCAGCAGCGAGTTAAGAAGTACATCAATGAAATCAAATTAGAAACAGCTAGTCAAAGTCATCCTAACGCCATTAGTAGCAGTACTAATTGCAAGAAGAGTCTTCAACCCAAGCAGAAGCCGATGAAGGTGAAGGAGATGGCTCCGGCTAATGGTGGCGTTAGAAAGTTCTGGGGTGTTAGGCAGAGGCCTTGGGGAAAATGGGCGGCGGAAATAAGAGATCCGTTCCAGAAAGTTAGGCTATGGTTGGGCACTTACAATACGGCGGAGGAAGCAGCAATGGTATATGACAACGCCGCCATTAAACTTCGTGGACCGGATGCTTTAACTAATTTCGGCCATCCTCCGGCAATGGAGAAGCCGGGAATCAATGTGACTTCAGTTTCCGGCTACGAGTCCGGTGATGAGTCACGCAATCTTTGTTCTCCGACTTCTGTTCTCCAGTCCAGAAGTAGTCAACAGTCAAGTGAAGACCAACCCGACCCGGTTCAAAACTTGTGCAAACCGGCTGAACCTTGTGGATCGGTTGATGGACCGGCTTTGGAAACCGGGTCGGTCAATGACCCGGTTCTTGAAGTTGAAGAGTGCAAATGGGACTCTAATGGGGTGCCAAATTATTTAAATGAGTATTTGCCAATGGATATCCCATTCTTAGAAGATTTCTTCAATTTCCAATCTCAAGAACAGACATTATTTGATGAATATCCACCAAAAATTGCCAATGATTCTTGTGACTTTGAGATGTCATTTGATGACTTTCCATCTTTGGATCACAGCTCACAAGTGGAAAATTTTGGAGAATTTAACAACTCGATCGAAGAACTTCCCCTATTAGGATTAGAAGTTGATAATTATTTTTGCGATGAGATGAAATCTATTTGATAAATATCGAGTTTTGTATCCAATTTTGTTAGCATTCTATCTTTTTTTTCATGAAATAATGGTAAGTGTATTTGGGATCTTTATTTATTTGTGTAACATTAAAGTTAATTGAGTCCGGGTGAAATTTTTGTTTTGTTTCTCTCTCTATATAAAATTTGGCATTTTCAAGATTGTGGTGTCTTTGTCACTAATTGTACTTTTTCATTTTTTGTTTCAATAAATAAACCTGTATATTTAATGGAGTTTTTCTAGAAAATAATGATTTTTTTTAAGTGCGTTTTCTAATTATGGTATCACCTTTAATTTATTCCAATTTGGTAGGGTGAACAATTTATTATTTTTTATATACCCAATTGATGCATTAAAAAAACATTTTCATTAGAAAAAATGAATTTTCGTAATTTTTTTTCTCTTACTAAATTAATTGGACTTGGGGCAGGTCTGGGCTACCTCCATATGCTCCTGCGTGTATCGATATTATCTATATTCACTGATAGATGGTATGATATTATTTAATTTAGTTGTTATTCCACCTCTATCGATTATAAGCCAAACTTGTTGAAATTGATCTAACTTTTCGTTCTAACGTGCATCGTGCAAGAATATACTATTTGTATAATTCTTTGATATCAAAAAGAAGGCATGCAAAGGTATCGTTAATCTTGAGCGCAGTGATAAAAGGCAACCGACTCCGAGATCCATAGTTCAAACAATCATAGATTTGATACAAATCAGATAATGCAACATCATAGAAAAATATCATAAAGCTATTATATAAAGAAAATTATCTTTATTTCAAGTTGACATTATTACGTTGTTTAATTGATTGGTCACTGTCAAATTGTCATTCCTTTCGGCCCACGAGCTGGTGCGATAAACGATTTTCATTTGACTCCGTCCAAACCTAGTTTGAAATTAAGCCCTGTATGATTGGGATTAAAATCAAATTTTTAGTAAATTTTTTTAAAAAGTTGATAAAATGTGTAATTAAAAAGTTGTGGGTGTCTTTAAGTATGTGATTAAAATTAATTGTTAATTTTGACTTATTAAAATTTGGATTTTAATTTTTACCAAACATAGGCTAAATTTATTTTTTGACTTTTTTTTTAAAGATTTGGTACGATTTTGTATTTGAACATTTGAACCTTATGTACTTGATTTTGTGCCGAAAGCAATGGCTAAGAAAATCAATAATTAAATCCATTATGGATTTTGGTATTGAAGGTTGAGATCTTGCAAAGAATGGCTAACATTAATTAATCTGGACATAAAATTATTTTTGTTTGGTTTCTGCATTTATCATGAACTACAGAGTTGAATGGTACAATACGTACAATATCTCTAGGTTTAGAAATCTAGTGGGATACTGACTCAGCCATGTTTGGTTAAGGTTTTAATCTAAATCAAAGTCAATAATTAGTTTAAATCACATATTTAATGGGACCCACAACTTTTCAATTGCCAATTTCATCAACTATTATCAAAATCTACTAAAATACTAATTTTAATATCTACCAAACAAGGGCTAAATGTATATAATCCAGTAAAAATGTCCGGGTCCACAAACAAGTTCTCGGTTCGAACTGAAAGATACATGAAGTCGAATAGTTAGATTGTTGTAGGTAGTGAATTCGTTTGAGACATTGTCATATTAAGCTCTTATTTGGTGCCCCATTATTTTAAAACTCGTTTTGTTATATGATTATTTTCAGCTACACATTCACACAATAAAATATTCTACACGTAAATTCAAAAAATTCCTACTTTTTAACCACACATTTTCCTAAAAAATACTATTCAAAACTCTTTTTTTTTTTTAATAATGGGCACCAAACATGGACTTAAAGTTGTTATTTTAATTCTAAAGAGCAATGTACAAGTTAGTTAAAAGTTTTGTTATAATAGATATTATTGTTTGTGTTATGATATAAAAATAATAGAACAAGAATATAAGAAAATATAAGAGTTAAAATTCAAGTGTATCTTTTATTGAGAATCATGACCTATATTTATAGGATTTAAAATGAGAGTTACAATTGGAATAAAATAGACTTTCTACACTAGATAAGACTTATCTATGAATCATGATAACAAATAATCATCTATAATTATCTCATTATTTTACAATACACTTTGATGATTATTTGTACAATAACTTTTTCGTTATAACCTTGTTTGATAAAAATACAATAGAACAAAAAATCAAACGAAGGAAAAAGAGTACAGTTATTTTGGCGTATTAAAATAAATGGTACCTCATTAAAATCTTGCTGGAAAATCTAGTGAGATAAAACTTAAGAGAAGGAAAAATAGTACAGTTACTTCCCTAATGTTGATCACTGAAAATTTTTGAGTCGACACATTCCAATCTTATGAACCAATTTCTTGAATGTAGATATTGACAATGCCTTTGTAAATAATCAGCCACATTGTCACTTGAACGAATCTGTTGAACATCGATGTCGTCATTCTTCTAAAACTTACGTGTATGAAAGAATTTTGGAGAAATGTGCTTCGTTATGTCACATTTTATATAACTAGGGGTGTTCAAAAGTCTCGAACCGAATCGAGCGATTCTTCATAAGTTAAATACCCGAACGGGTATCTGAATCGAGAACCGACGGGTTTGGTTCGGGTTTCGGTTCTAGATCCAGAACCGAATAATCGAATAAGAACCGAATTTAAATCATTATTTTAGTTTTTTTATATTGAATTAATTAATATTTTTTATTTTTTCTAAACAAATTAGCAAATTAACTAATTTAGTGATTAATATTCTAAATCCCAAGCCAAATTCATGCCTAGCAAGTCCAGCTCAACCCAATTTCTAAATTCAATTTTTTGATTTAATTTTTTTCAAGATCTAGGCTTTTGTAAGTTTTTATTCTTCTCTTTCTAATTTCACACTTTCATTCGGTAACCACCGAGTCACTGGCCCCAAATCATTTGATAAATTGAAAACATATATCCACATGCCCAAATCGAAACAGTTGACTGTCGAGTCCGACTTCCCCTCTCCAATACCCATCAAAGTCACGACCTCCAACCACGACCATCGATCGTTGACCATTAGAAATCTGTCAAAAAAATTAATTATGGTACGGAACNATGAGTTTGGGTCGGGTCTCGGGTCTTAACCAAGAACCGAAACTAAATAATTTTTTTTATTTTTTATATGAATTAATTAAATTATTTTATTTTTTTCTAAACAAATTAGCAAATTAATTAAATAAATCAGATTATTTCATAATTTTAATTTTAAAGCCCAAATCATTTTTAAAACCCATTAACCCATTTTAATTTGCTCATGAGTACATGACTATTCGAATTTGTTCAATAAATTTAAAGCATTCAAATGATTAAATCAAGTAGTTGGTAAGTATTACCAATACTTAAAAATATTTTATTTTCTTTTAATTTATACTTCATTTTCTTTATGCAGGCAAACTGTTTGAAGCAAATGAATTTGTTTTATGTAGTGTTACTGTAATATTAATATCTATTTTTTGGTATTTGTATGCATTGAGTTAATCTTATTAGACGGCTAGTTATTTATATGTTTTTGAATTGGACTACATTAATTTGTAAAAGTTACGAATGAAATGTCATTACTTATATTTATATAGTGTTGGTATAAATATTAAAAAATTTAATTATGGTGCGGAACCGAACCGAACTCGAACGCTTCCATAATTATATTTGGACCCGACGATTCCATTTATTAAATACTCGAAAGTTTTGGGTCGGTTCGATTCTCTTCAGAACCGAACCGACCTACGAACAGCCTTAGATATAACCTCATTTGAGTTGTGCAATACAAGAAGCATTGTTTCATACAAATTTGTTGAACTATCTTTTGTTGAAATTAATCTGCATGATATTTAGATATAAGGGGTCAGTTTCTCAACCATACACATTCTCAACATACTTCATGGATTGCAATAATTTCAGAATGATTTAAGGATGTTGCTATCAATGATTAATTCAACTATCTCCATGTATGGGTCAAAGAAATAGCATGCATCTACATATCCCATTAAAATAGATCCCGACTTTTGAGAATAAAATAATCTCAAATCAATAGTACCCTTTAGGTAATGAAAAATATGTTTGACATCATTCAAATATTTTTTTGTTGGTGTAGAGCTATATCTTGCAAGGAGATTTATAGGAAAAACTATGTCAGGTCGAGTACAGTTTGCAAGATAAGTTAATAGTCTAATTGCACTAAAATATGGTACTTCAAGACCAAGAACGTTTTCTCCATCTTCAAGTGGACGAAAATGATCATTTTTCACATCTAGTGATCGACAACCATGGGTGATACCAATGGATGTGCATTATCTATATAAAATCGTTTTAAACTTTTTCTGTATATATAGATTAATGAACAAATAATCCTTCTGATAAATGATCAATCTACAACCTGAGAAAAAAATTGGTTTTTCTCAAATTTTTCAAATAATTTGCAGTTTTGTTAAGCTCTTCAAAGGTTCTAATTAAATTTAAATCATCAACATAAACTGCAACAATTGCAAATCCAATATTTGTTTTCTTTATGAAACATACATAGGCAGGCATCGTCATTTTTATAACCTTCTGTCAACAAATATTCGTTGAGGCGATTATACCACAGCGTCCGGATTGTTTCAATCCATATAATGATCTTTACATTTAATTGAGAACATGATTTTCGGGTATGTATCATTTGTTTCTCGCACCTTAAGTCCTTCGAGGACTTTCATGTATATGTCACTATCAAATGAACCTTACAAATGGACGTTTAAATCCATAAGGCGCATATCAGGCATTTGTGACATAGTCAAACTAATTAAGAATCTAAAAATGATGGTATCCATTACGAGAGAATATGTTTCCTCATAATCAATTCCTGATTTTTGTGAGAAACCTTGAGCTACAAGTCAGGCTTTATATCTTGTAATTCCATTATTTTTATTTTTCTTTCGTACAAAAACTCATTTGTATCCAACATGGATTAC